TGGAAGCACATGAAAATTTAATTTTTAGAGAGTCCTATTTATCTAGTTTATCTTCTGCTGTGTGTATATTTTGGGTTATGCTTGGCAGTCTATTTCTGCCATAAATTAGGGCCCTTCAATTTGCTCCTATTTTTTCCTTGAGGAACTTTATAGTTTTATGTTTCACATTTAAGTCTGATCCATCTGGAGTTAGTTTTTGTATATGGTGTAAGGTATGGATCTTGTTTCATCTTTCTGAAAATGGATATCCACTTTTGCCAACACCATTTGTTAAAGAGACTATCTCTTCTGCATTAAATGGGTTTCAGCCCTTTGTCAAAAAGAAGAATGGATAACTAAACTGTGGTACATACACACAAAGGAGTACTATGAAGAACACTAAAGAATAATGTAGAATCTACAAACACCCGATAACATGGATGAACTTGGAGGACATTATACTGAATGAAATAAGTCAATCACAAAAGGACAAATATTGTATTAGTTCATTATTGTAAAAAGTCAAGGAAAGGTTTATATATGGAATGAAACTTTCTTTGTTGGTTACCAGGGGTGGGAGGGGAGGAGAGGGAACACTGCTAGATAGGTATTGATTTGAGTGAAGGGAAGGGCAATGTACCAAATGTGAGTGATCAACATAGTGGCATTGAGGAAGAGGAAGAGATAGAGAAGTACCTGGGAGGTACAGACAACAAAGATGAAACCTTTTGCATGTACAGTACTGTGTTGTCAGTGATGGGAAGCATTAATCTACGGGTGGATAGATGGGTGGACAGGCTGAATGACCAGGTATGTCTAGGCAGTGGGGAGTGTGCCCATGACCATGTATAGGGTTGGCAGATGATCTTTCTACAAGCATATTTGTATGCACTGTAAGAAGGTCTAGGTGTATAGTAGAGTTGATAAGGGCCAAGACTGTGGTGATTTCTTGGCCACAGCCAGCTAGCCAGAGGGAGCGAATAGTTGGACCTGTGGGCTCAGGACCATAGTCGCAGGCCACATGAAGCTGAATTGGCATAACATACTACACAAAAACATTGTTCTACATCCTACTTTGGTGAGTAGTGACTGGGATCTTAAAAGTTTGCAAATGACCATCTAGATGCAATGATGGGTCTCTCCTCATCCAGAGAAAAGAAGAATGAAGAAAACCAAAGATGCATGGAAACAATTAGTCCAAGGGACTGGTAGACCATGCTATCCTGAGCCTATATGACCATGAGACTAGAACTGGATGGTGCCCGCTACCACTGTCAACCACTTGGAGGGGAATTGCAGCAAGAGATCCTGGGTAGATTGGGAGAAAAATGTGGAACAAAACTCAAAAATTAAAAAAAAAAAAAAAAAAAAGTAAGTTTGCTGGTGTGATAGAACTTGGCGAGACCCATGAGACTATGGGTCCTAGCTACTCTTCATGTCTGGAATTGAGCTCACTTCTGTGGGTTCCAGCCAGATAATAGACAGGCATATGGGCTGAACATTTACATCAGCTAGATACAGTACATGGAGTGATCAATCATGGGAGAACAGAAAGGCAGTGTTTATACTGGGAGATAGCTGGGGGGGGGGCAGTGGGAGTGCTTGGGAGGGAAGGACACAGGGAAGAGGTAACTATGGGGAGGAAGTAGGAAGAGAGCTGTTACATTGTGGGGAATTGCAGTCAATGTCATGAAACAAAATGCATATGAACAAAATGAATTTGTTCTGTAAACTTTCACCCAAATCACAATAAAATAAAAAAAAAAAACAGGAAAATTTAAGTTAAAGTATTTTTAATAAAACATTTGCAATTGCTTTATTAATGCAGAATCACCCTAGCAGGGATACTTTTTCTCCCTTTCCTTTAAAAAAAATGGAATGCTTTTATTTAACACTAAGGTACTAGTCTAGAAATATTCTAGTAACTTTTTGCATTTGCTACTGTAAAATTGTGGCAGCCTGTAGAGAAAACTTTCAGGAGTCCTGCATGTGGTAAAAACAATCTTTCAAAACACACTTTCCATCCTTGCCCTTCCAGCCAGCAGGACTGTAATTCAATGCCTCCTTTCCTTTTTCTATTTTTTTCCCCATTATGAGGTTTTTTGTTGTTTTTTAAATGGCCTCTAGCCCCAGAGCAATCATCAACACACTTGTTAGTCAATGCTTTTATTTGACAGTAGGTACATTATTGTTTGAAATTATTTACTTATAGAAATTATAAAGCAGTATTACAGAGGCCAGCCCTATCTAAATGGTGTATAGGCAAGAGACATTCTCTGCTACCCTGATTGAGCTCACCTGAAAACCATTATATGTTCACCAAGGGAAAGATTTGCACCCTGAATATGTGTTTATTACCTTCATTACAGGTCACAGTGATAGTGTTGGAAATTGTGGATGGGTTTTCTTTTTTCTTTAAAAATAAAAAATGATGAAAATCTCTCTCTTTCTCTGTTTGACCTAGACCTAGACCTGGTCTGTGTCCATCTCCCCAACCTGGCAATATATTTTTCATCAAAGCAGAGAGATGCACAGTAGAAATACTCTACTAAATCTAATCTAGGATATACTTTTCCCATTAATGGGAAATGGAATCATAAGGTTACATGGGACTAAACTTAAAAACAGTCATTTGAAGCATGGCACTAAAGTAACCCACACAAAAACAGAAATGCAAAATTAGATAATTGATGAGCCCAGTGATTTAAACTTTGTTTTGTAAAAGGTTGTTATGGGGTTGGAAATGCTGAACTAGGCTGCTTCAGAGGAGCTCTAGGGGTCAGAAACTTATTCTGTGCTTCATCAGATTTGGATTTGCTACAACCTCGAAGGCTATATCTGCCAGTTAACTATTGGCAATATTAATTGGAAGACTGGCTTAGTGTACCTATTATATTAAAAAGCAAAATGAAATAAAATTTTAAAACTCTCAGGGGTCATTATATTTGCATTTTGCAGTAAGCATTTTTGAAAATGTTACAGATTTTAATGGCTTATCTGAAATATTAAGTAAGTTATTGATTAGGCCTATCACATAATTTATAGTAATACTTCTCAAGCATTCATATAAGAAGAAATTAAACAAGTTGTTAAAAATCTATATTTTTTACCTGCCTCCCCCACCACGTCCTCTGAGATTCTGACTCTCTGGTTGTTGTGTGCCATCAACTCGATTTCAACTCACTGTGACCCCATGTGACTGAGTGGAACTGTCCCCACAGGGTTTTCTAGGCTGTAATCTTCCCAGAAGCAGATCTCCAGATTCTACTCCCGTGGAGCCACTGGGTGTTTGAGCTGCCAAACCTACTGCCAAGTTTGGGTTGGCAGCTGAGTGCTTAACTGGTGCACCACCAGAGTTCCTTGAGTCTCTGGTAAGGCCCAGGAATCTACTTTTTTGCAAGATTCCAGGTGGTCTGTTGGCTATCTGATTTTTTTAAAAGTGGTCTAAATGAGCCTTGAAGAATCAGTCTACTCAAGGACAATCTCAACTTCATTTGTTGGTAGAAAAAGAATATAGGGATTTTGTGAACTGGTAAAGTTCCTTCCTCCTTTAGACCGCTTTCCCCATTGTAAAGGAGATGATCATATCCACCAAGTACAGTCATTGGACGGCTCACCTGAGATCACTGGCAATCCAGCTGCTTGCACAGTGAGGGTGCTTTGCTTTCCCTCCTGGCTACTCACCCCTCCAGATTTGGTGGTTTATATCTTGGACAAAACTTTTACTTTTGCCTGTTGATAATGTGTTTCTTCCATCTATGTTTATCCAGATTATACCTCCTATTCAAAGCCTGCTACTAAAACAACTCATACTCCAGATGAAAGGAATCTCTTACTGTCCAAACCCCCATACATTTCAAGCTATACCTCTTACTGCATTTATTGTACTCCACTGGGTACAAGTATAGCTGACGTCGGACTGGACAGTGTTTTGGTCTGTTGTACATAGGGTCGCTATGAATCAGAGCCAACTCTATGGCACCTAACAACAACAACTGGGCTCTGACTCATAGCGATCCTATATACAACAGAACAAAACACTGCCTGGTCCTGTGCCTGCCTCACAATCCTTGCTATGCTTGAGTCTATCACTGCAGCCACAGTATCAATCCATCTCATTGAGGGGCTTCCCCTACATCGTTGACCCTCTACTTTACCAATTATGATATCCTTCTGCAGAGACTGGTCCCTTCTGACAACAGGATGAAAGTAGGTGAGATGAAGTCTGGCCATTCTTGCTGCTTCATTCAGCTGTGCTTCTTCCACCGCAGATTTGTTTGCTCTTCCGGCAGTCCATGGTATTTTCGGTGTTCCCAACCAACACCACAATTCAAAGGCATCACTTTTTCTTAGGTCTTCCTTATTCATTGTCTAGCTTTCACATGCATGAGGTGATCAAAACTACCTTGGCCTGAATTAGGCACCCCTTAATCTTCAAAGTGATATCTTTGCTCTTTAGCACTTTGAAGAGATCTCTTGCAATAGATTTGACCAATGCAATGCATGGTTTCTTAATTGCTGCTTCCATGGGTGTTGATTGTGGATCCAAGTAAAATGAAATCCATGATAACGTCGATCTTTTCTCCATTTGTCATGATGTTGCTTACTGGTCTAGCTCATCAATATATATTTACTAAACCTCTAGTATTTCTCCTTCAGTCTGCTAGGTCCTGGATGTTTGGCACCATGAACACATTGACTCTGTGTTGAGCTCTTTTTTTGGTTGTGTGAATAACTTTTTGGTATAACCAGTGCTCGTCAAATGCTTTGTCCAGTGAATAAATGAACACCTTAGGGTCTACAACCATAAAGATTTATATTTCTTTAGAGAATATACATCTGCATTCAATGTACTACAAAAATACTGTTTTCTTTTTGGCACTTGTTCTTTCTTTTTGGATATATGTGGATGCATGCACAGATACACATGCACAAGCATCTGGACAAGGTTTTTAAATTGAAAGACCAATGTACAAAGTTGAAATGACTTGCTTCTCTTCTGTTTTCTCTTACCATTTCAGATGATGGGAAATTGTCCTTTGAGGAATTCAAAGCATATTTTGCAGATGGTGTGCTGAGTGGAGAAGAACTACATGAGCTCTTCCATACCATCGATACACATAATACCAAGTAGGAACTTTTTTATCATTTAATTCTGTAAGTGAGGTAGAGAGAGAGCCAAGAGAGCACATATGATTGCTATGCCTGAAGGAGAAAGGAAAGAAAGATACAGAGTGCACATTTTGTAGTACTTAGCTATATTTCATTCTGAGATACCTCCTTCTCTAATTATTGAAATGTTCTGTGAAACTGAATTCTGAATTGGAAAACAGTGATCTGTAGGGATTTATCTTAAAGCAGTTTTAGACTGTGTCTTTCTGCAGAATGTAAAACAAAAGCATAGATTATAAAAAATTCAAATTGGTAAGAACGTAGAGTATTGACGTGTTAGGTTTCAAATGGATTTGCTTTATTTAAAAATTGTCTTTAGGCCATTCTTTTATTAGCAGAATTAAATAGTAAATTACAGCAGAAATCTGGACAATTCAGATGTGTTGAACTCCAAATCACTATACCTGAAGGAAACAAATAATGCAGAAGGACACAGATTTTTACTCCAAATAATCAGTGTATACAGCAATCCATTTATTCTACTTAGTTTACCTATGTAGATCTATCTTTTGCATTACTGTAGCATTTACAATGATTCTATATTCTCATATGCTTAAAAATATAAAATAATGAGATATTTAGAATATAGAACTGAAACATGCTGCTTGAGTTGGGTAATTGAACCAAATCATTATTTGGGATAGTTGTAATTACAGAAACTAGGATGTGAAAGCACCATTGTAACCATGCCTTAAGTCCCATCTGTGAGTCTGTTGCTCAGTGCAGTTGCTATCTTGCTTTTACACAGAGTGTTACAATGTTCCAGGCAGTGAGTCATCATGCCAGGTAAATGGTCTTGGGCTACATTGATGCAGACATTTTGTTAAGGCAAATAAGTAAGAAAAAGTAAAAGATTAAGTTTACTGAGGTAGTTAAATATTTTGAAAACAATCAGTTTGTAAGCTTTTTAATCTTCAATTGGAGTTTCAAATTCCCTTTGAAATGGCTAAAATTTTTGTGTTGTCAGAAAGAGTATTGCAGGTAATTCAATCAGAAGTTCCATTCTGTTCAGCAAATATAGCATAATATCAAGTTAGTAGTAGGTATTGGTGATATAACATAGAACCTGCTTACAGTTAAGTGGAAAAATAGAGTACTCAATGATAAGTTCAATACAGTATCATATATACTGTGGTTGGGATTTGCACACAACATTCTGGAATCACAAGGGAAGGGATCTTTACTCAATTTGATGTGTTCAGGAAATGTTCCCAGGATGTGTGGCCAGGAGCAGAGTCTTTATGGGAGAATAGAAAGGGAGAGAATATTCCTATAAGAAGGAACAGTATTAGAAAAAGCCTGGAGGTATATATAGTGTGCCATGAGTGATTGAGAGTGGCAAACATTTTCATGTGACCGAAGTGTCAGCTGTACAGCAGGGATAGGGAAGATGAAACTGGAGAGGAAAGAATGGGCTAGACAAGAAGGAATTTGCGTTCTGAAATGTCAAAAGTGCCTCAACTTTACCCTATATGCCAGTGAGAGCTACTAAAGAACTTAAGGCAGGAAATGACAGCTTTGTAGGTCATTGTGGCACCTAGAAAAACAGTATGTTTTCTGATCACTATGCTTGTTCTTGTTCAGTGCCATCAAGTCAGTTCCTACTCATTGCCACCCTCTGTACAACAGAATGAGACACTGCCTGGTCCTACGCCATCTTTACAGTCATTGCTTTGCTTGAGAATATTGTTGCAGCCTCTGTGTCAATCAATCTTATTAAGACTATTCCATTTTTTTGCAGACCCCCTACTTTGTCAAACATGATATCCTTTCCAAGAACTGGTCCTTTCCAAGAACGTGACCAAAGTATGAGAGACAGTCTGGCCACTCTTGCTTCTAAGGAGCATTCCAGCTATACTTTTTCCAAGACAGATTTGTTTGCTCTTCTGAGAGTCCATGGTATATTCAACACTGTTGACCAACATCACAATGCAAATGCACTGATTCTTCTTTGATCGTCCGTATCCATTGCCCAGCTCTCACATCCATATGAGGCTTTGGAAATACCGTGGCTTGGGTCAGGTCCACCTTAGTCTTCAAAGTGACATCTTTACTCTTTAACACTTCAAAGTCTTTTGCAGCAGATTTGCCCAGTGCAATACGTCATTTGATTTCCTGACTGCTGTTTCCACGGGCATTGATTGTGAATCCAAATTGAATGAAATCCTTGACAACTTCAATCTTTTCTCCATTTATTGTGATATTGTTTATTGATCCAGTTGTGAGGATTTTTGTTTTCTTTATGTTGAAGTGTAATCCATACTGCAGACTATAGTCTTTGATCTTCCACAGTTAGTGCTTCAAGTCCTCTTCACTTGCAGCAAGCAAGGGTATGGTATCTGCAGATCACAAGTTGTTAATGAGTCTTCCTCCAATCCTGATGCTGTGTTCTTTTTCATATAGTCCAGTTTCTTGAATTATTTGCTCAGCATACAGATTGAATAAGTATGGTGAAAGATACAACCCTGACACACACACCCTTCCTGATTTTAAACATGCACTATACCCTTGTTCTGTTCAAACAACTGCCTCTTGGTCTTTGTACCAGTTCCTCATGAGCACAATTAAGTGTTCTGGAATTCCTATTCTTCACAATGTTATCCATAATTTGTTATGACCCACACAATCAAAAGCACTTGCATAATGAATAAAAGATATGTAAACATCTTTCTGGTATTCTTTGCTTTCAGTCCAAATCCTTCTGACATCAACAATGATATCCCTTGTTTCTACATCCTCTTCTAAAACCTGCTTGAATTTTTGGTAGTTCCATTTGCTATTCAACTTAATTTAACACTAAATGTAGAAATTTCTTAATTATATTCATAACATTTCTGTCCAAAATAATAATAATAATAAAGATATCAATGGTCCATGGATTAACAGAGATTAATCCAATCATTGGGACAGAAAATTTCAAGCTATATTTCAAAGAGGTGATAACTTTTACTTTTATATGATCCAAACTTTAATAGTTTTAGTGGTTGTAGTTTATATGCCAATTATTTTTCTCCTTCCACACACCTTCTAAGAATATCTGCTTTTCTCCCAAATCCTGCCACAGCCCAACATCCCCAATCTTTTTGGTTCAATCGCAGGCAGAAACTTCATTATAGGAGCCAATCCACAGATTGGACTAAGCCTGTCTGACTCACTGTCTTCTGTTAACAGTCCACCACAGAGTCAGAGTCCATAGGCATGTACTGGTGAAACCTCTATAACTGCTTGTTCCTCCTGAAACCTGGCAGTTCAACCTCATCTTTGATTCCATTAAAAAAAAAAAGTTGCCACTCAGTTGGTTCCAACTTACGACGACCCACTCTGTGTCAAAGGAAGACATGCTCCATGGGGTTTTCAATGGCTGATTTTTTGGAAGTAGATTGCCTTTGTTCCAAGATACCTCTGGTGGATTAGCTAAACTTTTTGGTTAACAGCCATTTTAGTTACCCAATCCTGCTATAACAGAAATACCACAAGTGGATAGCTTTGACAAACAGAAATTTATTCCCTCATAGTTTAGGAGACTAGAAGTGAATTCAAGGCACCAGGTCCAGGGAAAAGCTTTCTCTCCGTCAGCTCTGGAAGAAGGTCTTTGTCTCCTTTTAACGTCTGTGGGTCCAGCATTCCTTGGAGATCTATATGTGTCTTGGCATCAGTTTTCCTCTGGGTTTGGGGGATTCTCAGCACGGAGACCCTAGGTCCAAAGGACATTTTTTGCTCTCAATTCTTCCTCCTTCTCTGCTCACTTCTCACTACTTTCTCCCTTCTCTCTCCTTTTATCATCCGGGAGAAATTCCCCTTATGTCAGATCAGGGCTGTGACTTGATAAGGGTATTGCATACCACCCAAATCCCCCTACAAGTGATTGGCTGGTCACATCATGGAGGATAATTACCTCATTACATAATTGCCAAACCTCTGAGAAGCATGGCCCATCCAAGTTGATGCATATTTGGGGAGTGGAGGCAGGCTGTTGAATTGTACATACAGCAGCCAAGTATGTTAACCTTTTACACCACCCAGGGAATACTTCATGAAGTAAGTATCTGATTAACACAACATTTTATTGAGCTTATTTGAGATTGTTTCTTGCAATAGTGTGTTCTAACATAGTATTAACTCAGTTCATCCCTGCCATTCTTGAAATGCAAGTCTTTTTGCTATAAACATTATACTTTACTATGTTGAAAAGTGACATATCCACTTTGAAAATATTTGGAGAAAAAAAGGAAATACTGAAAACATATCTTACTAGTTAAATTTTCCCCTTTTGCCTCATGAACAATATTCTTAAAATATCATGCTCAATCATAAGAAGCAAATATCACTTGGAAATTTAATTACAGCCTGTGCCTATACTACAGCATAATTAAGATGACTTTAAATATAAAAATTAACTAAAGTATTCCTTGTGAAATGACAGAAAAATTCAGAGAAACCAACAGACTTCCAGAAGTAATATTTTACAGGCAGCTTTTAAATGAACAAACTGTAACTGCAGAGCTGTGCAATGATTAAAAAAAGTTTTGAGATAAAATTATCTCTGTCTATCCATCCATACATCCATCCATCCATGCATCCATCCATTGATCAATCTATCTGTCTGGCTGGCTGGCTATCTGTCTGTCTATGTATCTGAGGAAACTCAGTAGCATAGTGTTAAACACTCAGCTTCTAAATGAAAGGTCAGTGGTTCAAACCCACCAGCTGCTTTGTGGGAGAAAGATATGGCAGTCTGCTTCTATAAAGATTACAGCCTTGGAAAGCCTATGGGGTAGTTCTACTCTTTCCTGCAGGGTGGCTATAAGTCGGTATCTACTTGACAGCAATATTTTTTTTTTTCTGTTTCTTTAATCTAATCATCTGTCTATCTATCCATCTATCTGCCTATCTATCTATCTGTCTATCCGAACCCCTCCATGCACATTTAGTTAGAAGTCTTAATTTTCAAAACCAAT